AGGCAGGGAGTTGGGGTGCTCTGGATGGTCGTGGGTGGCTGGCAGCCTCTGCAACCCTGCTCCCCTCGGGCTTTCACCCTGGGGAATAAGCAGCCTGTGCAGGGGACAGGCTCTCCGAGCCTCCTCCAGGGGACATGATCTGACGGTGCAGGGCCTGTCAGGCAGCATGATGTTTCCTGCACAGCCTCATGCACAGGCCCCTGGAGGGCCTGGGTCTGCAATAAAAGGTATGTTGCCATCTCATGAGCGTAGTTCTTTCTCCGCAAATTGTCCATTACTATTAGGGGATCAAACCCCATCCCAGCCATTCGGCTGAGGATTGCCCTCTTTATGTTCACAGGGAGTGGCTCCGGAGGACTGGGGGGCCGGACACCCCGGATCCATCGGTGCTTCAGGATCTTTTGTATTGTTGGCCGCTTCGTGGGGTCCCAGGTTAGGATTTTGCCAATTAGTCTTTTGGCATTGTTAGAGATGAATTTGGGGTAAGAGACCGTCCCATGCATGATATTTTCTATTATCTGGGATTTACATTCAGCAAAGAGATAATCCCCAGTAAGCATCTCACATAAAGTCACTCCCAGGGCCCAGATGTCTAGGGGAGGACCTTCGTACCGCTTGCGAGAGAATTTTTCCGGGGAAGAATATGCCAGTGTTCCCCCAACTGCAGTCACCTTCTGCCCGGGGTGGAACTGGATCCCCAATCCAAAGTCACAGACCTTGGCCCAACCTTGGGTGTCGATCAAAACATTTGCGGGCTTGAGGTCCCCATGTACAATGCCACGATCGTGGCAGTAATCCACTGCTGCCAAGAGGTTGCTTCTACACGGTGGCCAGGGGAACAGCAGTGTCCCAGTCCTCAGAACAGGCAGGGCTGCCTCTTTTCACCTGGGTTCACCATCCCTCCAGCAACTCTGTGGCTCCTGCTTAGAAACCCTCACACAGGGACATGTGAGGAGGAGAGCAGAGAGAAGCTCCTTACTTTGGAGGATGTGTCTTCCTCCTGTGTGGCTGATCTGCCATGAGTAGGACGTCCATGTCCACGGAGTTGCTCATGGCCCTGTATTTGGGGCCACCTAGTGTCGGTGGTGCCCCGAGGGTGGCAGGCAGCAGCAGCGTAGGGCCCGTATGCAGCCTATTCTTATGGCTTCTGCGTATCTCTTGTCGCAGGTTGACCCCCATTACATATTCTAAGACCAGGTGTACTTTGTGTTGATCTTCTATTACTTCCAGCAATTGTGTGATATTGGGGTGTTGAAGGTCCTTCAGTATGCCAACCTCGATCTTAATGAAGGACTCTCCCACGCCTGCCCTTTTTAACTCCTTTAGAGCTACCTGGATTCCTGTTCCACAGTGTCTTGACAGGAACACCTTCCCAAAGCTGCCTTGGGCCATGAGGCGCAGCACTACATATTTATCCTGCATCGTATATGTCTGCAAGCTGGTCTTCAGGCCCAGACATGATGTTTCTTCGCTGGCTTTACAGGAACACTGCTTTGCACATTGTAACGACATTGTGCACTCCCCGTAGTACCAAATCAACAACAGTCTCCACCAACTCCCTCTCAGTAATCTCCTTCCACCCACAACAGGCCCCCCTGAGCCACGGCCTTATATTGATAACTGCTGTGACCTCACACAGGCTGCTGTGATGTCACAGATCCAAAGGGCCAATGCAGAGCTGGCCGCACCCACCAGGGCCACCTCACTCATGACCATTAGGATCTTTTGTTTGTAACAGAAAAGGTTACAAAATTTCTTGCTTGTGTGGGTTATTGAGATTGATGCACAAGTGTTGAGAAGTGAAAATCAATCCTCAGGATGCTCCAAAACCCCTTTCCTTTCTGTTATACCTTCTGTTTTAGAGCTCTCATGGTTTCTACACTCAGCATATCCAATTCCTTTTCCTTTAAGTTCTTGCTGGTTTCAAAGTGATGCTACAACTTCATTGACATTAGAATACTGTAATGCTCTGTTTAGGAAACATGTCGTGGCACCTTAATGCCCGTGAAGCTGACAGGAGATACCTATCATAATCATTTCCCCCCAAAGACAATTGATAGAAAAGTGCTATACAATCACATGGGCCCTGGCCTAGCCTCCATTTTCTTTTCCCACAAAATGTTTTGTTTTGGAAATGTAACATTGTGCTGCTGGTCTCCTACCCAATGTGTCAAAATGGTTTGTGGCTGTTTGAACTTTGTGACCTTTCAGGGATGTTCTGTTAAGCTCTGTCCCCTCACAAGAAGGTTCTGTAGCTTCTCCCTGGAATGTTCTCTAACTCGGCCCCTCTGCTTCTGGAAAGTTCTTGAACTTCAACCCCACCACAGCCCCGCTTAATTGAGCATGCTTTCCTACCCTGCAGGTCCCTATATAGGGAGGCTCTCATTTCTGGTAGAGTGCTCAGAATCCTCTGAGCCCACTGGGACTTGCCAGTGAATAAAGTTTTTTTCCCACCTCTTACATTTACTAGCAGATTCCCAAATCTTCAAATTATGAGAGCTCTGTTCCAGAGCTGCCACACTTTGCTGTAAGGCTCAGCAGTGCCTCACAGCTGGGCACTTGGCTGCAACAGTGAGTTGTAAAATTCAGCTATGCCACTGATGTGTGAGTGATTAATTTGTTTAATAACAATGCAGTGTCTCATTTCTGCAAAATCCTTGGATGCCTGGAGTGTGCATATCACGTGAACAGTGCTGGGTTTGACACCATTTGCCTTGGGATGCTTATAGAAAGCAAACCGACTTTTCCTCCATCCTCTGCCTCCATTAGGTAAAGCGCCATTGTACCCCAGCACCACCAGCTCCCCATACTTCACCGGCTCTTTGCCTGGGGCGCAGGGCATTTCCGGGCCAGGGGAGAACATGGAGCCCCTCTCAGCCTCTGCCTCTGCAGAGTCTTTGTTTGAGTCCAGTTGGGGTAATTTAGCTATTTAGTGAGATCTCACTACAAAATGTAAAGGGAGGAGGTCTGAGAATATGCAAATGTGGGGGATGTAGCTCAGTGAGAACCTCCTGGGTCCAATCCCCAGGATCTAACAGCAACAGCAACAACAGTTTTCTAACACATATACCTCCACACTTTATACCATAAGCATAATCAATTCTGTGTGTGATTAACTTTTTCTAAAATACGTATTTCATCTGTCATTTAAATACTCCAAGGACTTCAGAATTGTTCTGTGGTTTACAGCAAAACCCAAAGTAATCAACTAAGCATCTGAAACCATCCTCAAACTAATTTATGTTTAGCATGCAGCCACTCCAATAGACAATTTCATAAATCCTCCTAATTGTCTCATATACTCACTCATTAGAACAGCACTTGTTTTCACCTGGCGACTTAGCTTAAGAACTCTTCCAGGTCTAGTATAATCCTTGCTACTCTACATGTCTGTCAGATGCTCCTGAGTGGTGTAAACTGCTTTACATTCTTTTTTTTTTTTCTTGAGGGCTTCACCTTCACCCTCATTGTAGCGTGTGAGGGTAACCTTGTATCCTAACTTCCTAGGATCATCTTTCTCACTCATCTTTCTCATTGCTGAAGCACTTTTTAATCCCACTTTGTTGAGGCAAAAATCCAGTTCTGTTCAACATGGCATCATAGTTATTAGGCATTGCCTCCAAAGTAAGTACAATTTAGGAGACTTTGTGATGAAATTTATGATACATTACCTCGTTGCAAGCCCAAAGTAAGTCATTAGAAAGTATTTGCAGAGGAGAAAAAGGAAACTGATATTTTAGAAGGGATACTATACTCCAAGCACTGTAGTACACAATTTTGTGTATTTTATTTCATTTAATCCTAAACACATAGAACTGAAATTGTTTCCTCATTTTTATGGATGATAATATCTATAAGACTGTACACAATTTAGCAAGGACCATATATTTCATGTGTGCTGGAGTTTGTATTAAACCTTCATTTCTTAGTTCCAAGTCTATCTTTGATTGTTTTCCCTTTCTCCTCATCTTTAACCTCAGGGGGGAAAAAAAAAAGAAAGAAAGAAAAGCTTGTGACCTTTCCCATATCTAAAAAGCTCAGAATAAAAACACTGTTGATTTATGAGTTATCAAGAAAAATCTCTTGTTGAGAGAGACTCAGGCCCTCCAAATGAATATTAATTTTTAAAGACTGTTTTTCTCTTTGGCCCTAAACACTGCCATGAGAGACCCTTAAATCATCAATAAGATGCCAACGCTTTATATCCATATACTAATTTGAATTTAGTAAAAATATTTTTCTTGAATTTAAAAAATTCCGTTAAGCTTTTAACTAACCAACTTGGTATTGTTTTAATTGTTACTAATTTATCTAAATATGTGCTATCTGTTTTTCAACAGGCATAATTTTTTCCTGGCCATTGAGGCTGAGGGCCACACCATGTCTGGTTCATTCCTTTAGGCATACTCACTGCTCCATAAACAGCCCCTTGTATAAAGTACCCAGTTTAAATCTTCTGACTACCAGATTCTTGATTAGAAACAATTATGGACTGCCATCATTATCATTTCACCTTTGGATGTTCCTTCAAATTTACATCTAGAATCTGAAATGCAAAATTTATAACTCATGTTTTTCCAATCCAAATTTACTTCCCAAACTCCACAGGTTAGTTCCTCAGTGCTAACTCATAAACATTTCTCTAAGAAGCATATTTTAATGCTTAATCAATGCTAGTTTCTTCCTTTTGACCTGAACATCAAGATGCTACACACTGTCGTAGAAGTATAAATAAATCTCCACAGCTAATTCCCACCCAGAAGATATTTCACCCACTTCTATGACCTAGAAAGAAACTAAAAGTCTTTGTGAGGCCTGAATATTTTCTCTTTTCTGCATTTGTTCATTTTATTTTCCTTCTATCCTCTTGATTTTCTTGAAACTCCCTGCAAGTTCACCTTGTATGCTACAGATCTCTTAGCTCCCTGATCAGTTACTTTGTTCACCCGGGCAAGAGTGGCTTAGGGAGGGAGCAGGAGAGAATGAGGTCCCCTTTGGTGGTAGAAGAGGCTGCACAGTAGTTATTATAACAGTTAACACTTAGTCATAAAAGTAATTATAATAGCCAGATATCATCGTGCCATTACTAACTACCATCACTTTAAAGCACCTCACATTTTTAACTCACTTAACCCCATAAGAACATAAGGTACTACTATTCCCATTTTACAGATGAGGAAAGACAGATGCACAAAGGATGCAGAACTCCATCATGTCCCCACAGTAAATAGTGGCAAAGATGGGGCTTCACCCAAGCATTCTATAGGTGTCTCGCAGAACCGAGGATCTTTATCAAGATGAGGCACTATCGTGGCACTTGGCACTTTGATCAGACTGTTCTAATTCTTTGTTTACTATCTAACAAAAATCCAAAAATAAAAATAAAGAACAAAGTCTCTCATCATGATAACATTTAAACTTGAAACAAAATTAGAGGTACTTTTCAAAGATAGGTCATTTCAGAAACATCTGGCCCACTGGCAGTGTTACTAATGTTCCTGCCATAGTGTGGGGGGCGGCAGCTGAACCGTTCTTGGGCCATCATTGGCATTGCAAACCTAAGATGATTCCATCACTATTGTGGTTTAGATCTAGAATGTTCCTAAATCACTCAAGTGCTCATGCATAGGGCTTGTGGAAGAGGCTGATTAGAGGTGCTCTACTGGATGTGGTGAATGCTGCTCCTGGGAGGTAGGGTCTGCTGAGCAGGTCCCTTGGGCTGTGGCCTGCAAGGGTTTATCTCCCTTCTGTCCTTCCCTTTGCTCTCTGCCTCCAGGTGCCACGATGAGCAGCTTTTTCTCGGTGGTAGACCCTTCCATACATTGATTCCGTGTTTGAACCTGCCAACCACAGACTGAAACTTTTGAAACTGTGAGCCAAAATAAACACCCCCTTCTTTTAAGTTACAGGGTCAGGTATTGTACAATGGCAATGAGAAAATGACCAGGTCAGTGGCTGTGAACGTGAACATTTCGCTGTCCCTGTGATGCAAATTTTCCCATTCACAAGGTAGCACTGAGAAAACCATTGTTTAATAATATAATAACCTTTCTTTTCTATTAGTTTAGGCAATATTGGCAATAATACATCTGGAAGCTGATGGCAACATTTTTAAGCATTTACAGTTTAACAAGCAATCCGATGTAAAAGTTTAAGACAAATATGTTCTTAGTTCTCAACCCAACATTTTCTTTGGGCTCAATTCATTTATATAATATGTTTTTACCCATGTAAGCTAGACTACTTCCCGGGCAAACGCAGGAAGCTCTTGCTATAGAAGGTCCTTGATGAAACTGAGGGTAACAGCAGAGCTCCAAGATTGAGGTCAGTGGTCCCCAAACCTGGCTAACAATCAGAACCCCTAGTCAGAGTACTGACCATCACAAGTTCCCAAACCCTGTCCTGGACCTTCTGATTCTGCTTCAACACAAAGCTCTATAATTTGCATGTTATATCTCCCTAAACGATTATACTCAGAGGCTAGCATGAGGATTTTATGTTTGAACATCTCA